GTTCAATTCCCACTATCTGCACGGGAGCTCATGACTATTTATTTGCCCTCTGCTGGCCTCCCAGAATGCAAATGGTGCACAGATACACATGAAGCCAAACCATCCACGTACATGGAGAAAATTATACTACAGGGCAAAATTAAAGCAAAAATCAGTCATTTTCATGACCTTTTCTTAAAGACAAACTGAGGCCATTCTAAGGCCTAGAGCAGAGCTGTTTCTCATGCAGCATTTGAAGAAACACGAGTGACCAAACTGAAAACCAAAACTATAGACAGCTCTCATAATAAAGGCAGCCACAATCCAGCATTCACCAAACAGCCCTGCACACTGCACAGTCTTAACAGCTACACATGTTTACTTGTCCCGAACCCTGACAACCTCATGAGGTGGGTTACTGACTCTTCTTAACTAATGGAAAACTTAGGCTAAAGACAGTTACTTTTAACCAGACACATCTGAAGTATACTAAGAGGAAAGCTGACAGACATTTAGTAGGTGAGAGCCAGTTATAAATTTTCCTAATGTGCTGGACACACAGAATTGAACTGCCCAACCCACTACAAACTACTGAGAAACACAGAACAAATCCCCAAAGCTAAAACAGTTATTAATCATGCTATATATTCAATTATAAAATTCACAGTATCACACATAAAAATGCATCGAATTCCCATGCTAAAAGCATCCCAGACTGCTGTCTCAGAATGGCACTGCAGTAAAGTAGAAGGTGACAGAATTTCCTACTCAACATTCTTCCTGTTCTGTCCAGTTCTGTAGTTTCTTGGGTGTTTTCATCCTGACTCACTCCTGAGACTTCACAGAAAGCTGGCAAGTCCTTTCCCAGTTCCCATTCTGCCACATGTGTATGGGGTCCACGTGACTACCCAGAAGATTATGGTAACCCATAAGTTTCCCTTGCTCTGTTCTTTCAGCCATGGTACTGCTGCCTGACCAAATATGTGCACATGAATCACACTTCCTTCCTGCCAATTATCTTCTTATATGATTTTTAGTGGAGTAACACCTCCAGGCTAAAATTCAATTGGGTACTCTTTGTGGGGTGTATGTGTGTGTGTGTGTGTGTGTACATGTATGTGGTAGATGCAGATTCACATGTGTGTACAGTGTACATAGCCTTGAGGCCAGCCTTGTTCTTTGAGCCAATGTCTCTCACTGGAACCAGAAGCTCAGCCATTTTGCTAGGCTGGCACCTCCCCACCACAGGATGCCAAGCACACACCACTCTCCCTGGCTTTAACATGGCTCTTTGCACTTGTACAACAAGCACTTTGGGAATCCAGCTAGCTTCCCAGACCTCTAATTAGCTTCTTCTGCCCTCATCTCAATTACGATCACTCTTCCAACCAGGATGCTCCCCCAGCATCCCTCAGTCTATTTTCTAAGCCATGTTTATGCCCACAGGTTTCCTTGCTCAGAACTTTTCTGATTCTTCATACTGCCATTCTGTATCCTAGTCTACCAATTCATCAAGGGCTAGGAATTCAATCTGAAATCTGACTCTGTAAAGACAGTGAATCTCCATGCAAGTGTCTAACTACAATGCTTGACTAGTCCCAGCCCTTTGATTAGAACTAGAAGCCTTCAGAAAGGTCATACATTCATTTTCTTTGAATCACTCACCTCGACACAGAGAAATCTGAACTCACAGAACTGTCCTTGACTGAATCACCCAACACGACACCTTAATTTTAATTTCATTTTAAAAAGACCAATTCGCTAATCAAAAAAAAAAAAAAAAAAAAAAGGCAAGAACTAGTGTTCAGGCCAGGCCACAAAGTCTATAATCTAATGTCTGTGACCTCACCAAGTCCTGTCAAGTGAGCTACCGGATACAGACACCATTCTGAAACCCTGTATGCAACATTACACTGCAACCAAAGACTTCATCTCATCACACTGGACACTGCCCTGGGCACTGAGCTTTCTATAACTCGACCACAAAAAAAGGAGGTTATTCAATAATTTCCTCTCAAATTATTGGACATTCAGTTAATTAGAAATTCTGTTTTTCCTTAGTCCTTTAAATAGTAACATTAAAGTGCCCCAATTTTACCACCCCCATTGTTTATAGATAACATATTATGTTAAAATATGATCCAGGCCTTAATAGCTTAAGAAGATAAAGCCATTTGCAGCTACACTTGTGGTGGAGAATTCTAAAAAACATAACAGCACTAAATGACTCCATTCTTCAGTATGGCCTCTCTTTCCAAAGCTGACATCTACCTTACCATAAATATCAAATGTTATTTATTTCTCTATAGCAAAAAAAAAAAGGAAAGCAAATTATATCACTACTATATGACCTGACACATAAAATTGTATTTTCCTGTTTCTTACCAATAAATACATGACAGGCTCTTATCCTTTAGAGGTTGACAGAACAAAATGGTATGTGTGTGCTGTACATGAATGCAATAAATAAACTAGATGTTCTGCTTCAATGCTGGCTATGTATTAAGATTCAGTGTTCACTACCTTTAAAAGCAACCCTTACATATCAAATATTGTTTACTCATTCAGTTTTTCGGGGATGTTTTGCTTTCAACTCCATGTAAGCCAGTCAATTCAGTCTACACTGGCACCATTTATGAAGGTATCCCATTACAAACAGGCTATGTTTGTATCTGGAATCTCAACAGCCCAACCTTAAGTGAGAAATTATCTATTTTCTCAATATAATTAATCAAAGGATATTTTATTTGGAAGTATCTTTCTTTCCTAATAAGTATATTCTTTTGGGGAAATGTATCCTAGACAATAAAAGTTTAAAATGGGAATGCACAGAAGGACTAGAAGAAACTAGTTTGAAAGAGGAAGCCAGAGCAAACATGGTACTTGGCAAGCCTGTAGGAAGCACACACGTTAAATCAATGTGGAGTTCTAAAATTAAGATGTCACTTAGATGCCTTTAGTTAACAAAGAAAAATAACCTAGTACACATGTGAAATTAAATAGGTCTCTGTCATTTTCTATAAATCAGAGCCACAATAAACAAAACTGTATGCTCTTCTTGGCCTTCACAGAAGGAATGACTGGGGGATATTATATTGCTGGTAAGCAAGCCAATTTGCTGATGTTGGGGCAAACCTCTAAGAAGGAAAAGCAGAAGAGACTCAGTAAACAGTTCTCGGGATTTCATTCTAAATACAGCAAGGATTTCCAGAAGAAATTGTCACTGTAATCAGATGTTCACTCTTACTCACTAATAGTTGACTATAAAAAGATATGTAAGCCCAAAGGCTCTTGTGAGGGATCATTTTGATTGTCTGATCCTCTGACTAGGAATGAACAGGGGACTGACATGCTAACTCTATCTGTTGGATGCACTTGCTAATTATGTAAATTAGAGTTGAAAGTATTTGTAAGACAAATAATTGCTTTACAGAGTAAGCTTGCTGATGGCACATATAATTAAATATAAAAAAGGACCAAATAGCTGTTAAAAAGTTATATAATAAAATTGTTGAGGGCCAGGGGAAACAAGAAGAAAAAAAAACCTTTAAAAGAAAAGTAAAATAATCTAAAAATAACTGATTAATTTTTTTCCCTCAGTACATAATGGAATAATTTTGTTGGAGGGAAAAATCTTTCGGTTCCAAACAGTCCTTCTAGAACAATGCCAAGTGATCCTGACACTGAATTTTGCTGAACAATGAGAAAATTAACTATCCCTATCTACAAAACTAAAATAGAAAGTCTTTGTGAAAGTAAAAACATCTAAGCAATTTAAGTCAAAGAATATTCTAGTCTTGACAATTTAGCTATTTGGCCAAGAGCAGTTTATGCATACTGCTGCAGAAATCACCAAGTTAAGACTTGAACATTAAAGACAGGCATGCACTGCCAGTGTTTGAAATACACTTCCTAGCAAGCCCCGTTATGTTTCCAAGACAGTAATCGTCAAAGTTAAACTCAGGGCATATTCTGATGCCATATAGGGTACCTTTTGAAATACCTTAAAAGATTCCAAGATTCCTGGTTCATGCCTAAATCAAAGTTTGAGAAACCTAAAATGCAAACAGAATAGGCCAGCTCCTCCCACCACCCCCTTGCTTGTCAATATCAGAATAAAAGCAATCACACACTTTAATTGAAGTTAAATAGAACAAAAGAGAAAATGAAAACATCTTCATTGTTCAGGCCAAAAAGATTTTCTTGAAAAAACGAATCTTGTGAAGAATCTTAAAAAAAAATCACTATGCCAAAGCTATACAATCCACATAAGACCAGGAAAAAAAAAAGTCTACATGCTAATGTACTAACTTAGCAGTCTTTGTTATACATAACAGATTAAAGAAGGCAAAGTCTTTCAGCACATACACTTATAGCTATGAATTTACAAAACAATCCCCTGAAATCTCTAAAAATGTTAGCCTTTCTTATTTACAGAAATCTAATTTGATAACAATGTTTTTGTTTTTTCTGGATGGACATTCGGAAAACAAATCAAATTCAAATCCAGCTTCTAATTCACAGAGTAATGACAGTTAAGTTCAACATCCACTATATACAATTCTTTAATAAGCAGTTTACAGTGCCCTGAAGTCTGTACTTTGATCTTTGAACATCATTTTTAGCATTGGGCTTTAATAGTCCCCAAATACAAGAAGTATGTGCACCTCAGGATCGTTACAAAGAACTCTACCATATAAAGTTTGTTTTACACACACACACACACACACACACACATACACATTCTACTATATTTATAGAGTCTGTTACTATAACAAACTCTAGACTGCTGTTTTGATTCGTGTCTAGGAACTACTGAGAGCCAAGAGCCATTCTTACAGCAGCATACCACCTTAACACAGGTACACTAAAGAACACCTGCACCACAGAATTTCGTATAACACAGATCTGACTACTTCATTCTCTAAACTGAAGGGGGAAAATGGGGTCAATGAGCAATACAGACGGACTGGGTGAAATGAAGCAAGCAAACAGATTTTTTTTTTTTTAAGAAAGGATACAGCCTTAAAGCACCAGTCTGAGTTCCTACCGCCAGGATCTTCTGAACGGGATCAAAGGCCAGGGCTGAGGGCTGATAGGGGAATCCATGGCGAACAGTCTGGGGATGGGCAGTGACATCACAGGAACCCACCGAGAGACAGCAAGCAAAATCCGAAAACAGAACAGCCCACAGGCGCGTTAGAGTTGGAACCAACTACACTGGATACAAAACACACACAGATGCTTACTGCTTTAAGGGAGAGTTGGGGGTGGGGGAGGGTGGACACTATCCTAAGGAACAATCAACACAAATCCCTTACACTCCAGCTTTGCTTCAATGCTAGTAACTTCACAGAGGGCAATTTCCTATGAACAGCGTATACTATTCTGTTTGACGCCACATTACTCAAGTTTGTAGTGGTCCAAAATTCTGTAAAATCATTGCAAGGGGTGATTCGTATTGCATCTTAAGACAAATCACCCAATCGTGGCTTTATTTGAAATGTTGAAGGGAGGGATTTCTAAAGAAAAGCTGTCATGAAACTACTCAAAGGATTTAGTCAAAGAACCAACATTTGCAATTCTAATGATGGAAATGGGTCCGAAAAATAATCCTGTAATTTTCTATTAAGTCCGGAATAATTTTAGGACATAAGAACAGAACCGTACGTAAGATTTTAAGCCCCCGACGTAGGAAAGACCGCATGGTTATCTATGAGGCAGGCAAGTGTGGATAGGGAGGCTCTCGTGTGCTTTTCTCATCTAGCAGCTGGGAATTAATCCGCTGCATCATTCTTTCTGAATTACATACAGGACCTTGTGGCAATCATCGTGCCAATTCACAGACAAAACCCTCCGCGCTAAGTTTTTAACCAAACAAGCTAAAAGAATCCTGTGACTTCAGGTAGTGAGCCGCTCGCACGCATTCTAAGGAAAAAGTGATGCGCAAAAAAGATCTGGTTGAACAGGTTTGCCTTGCCCACAAACGACGTTCATCACACACTGCTGGAAAATTTCGACGTCAGTGGAAGATAATAAAATATGCGCGAATATAAAAAGTATTTCCAGACCATTGCTACTAGCATCTGGATGGGGATTAAAGGCAAAAGAGTATGCTTGGGAGTCGCCTTGAAATGGTTGCTTTTTATGAAAAAGAAAAAGACATCGACTTATAAGAAGTAGGGGATCTCTGTCCAAATACCCCAGCAAGGCACGTCTGGGGTGTGGGGGGCTTTCTTAGAGCGATGAGCTCTATTGGCGCGCTCTGCCCTCGCGCTCCCAGGTACTGCCCAGCGGCCCCCTCAAACGACCCCAATCTTCCCTCTCTTCCCACGACAGCTCGGCGGGGCTGCGCGCTCCCTTCACCTTGCAGAGTTGGAAGTGCTCGGACTGGAGCGTCTCCTGGATCTCGGGCTCACGGTTCCCAGGCGGGTGCTGCTGCTGTTGCTGCTGTTGCGAGGCCGAGGACGAGCCTGCGGTCAGGCCGTCCAGCACCTTCCTGATGTTGAATTTCCTCATGGTCTCGCTCAGGGGTCTCCCCGCTTCGAGGCCCAGGTAGTGGAGGCACCGGCTTGCGAAGGAGTCCGAGCCGCTGAAGTCAAGCGGCGGCTTCGACCACCGGGAGCGAAGGAGCAGCGGGGAGCAGAAGATAATCCCAACAGGAAGGGCTGCGACGACGGGCGGGCGCGCGGCGGCGAGCCCTCTTCCTCCGAGGCCGCCGCGGCTGCAGTGGCGCCGGACGCCGCCTCCTCACCTGGTCGCGGCCGGGCTCCCGCCGTCCCGCGCCGCTGCCGCCGCATCCATGGCCCGCAGCCCCGCAGTCCCTCGGCGCGTCCCGGGCTCGGCCTCCGCTCAGCGCAGTCTCCCGGCCCGCATGGCCCGGACACCCGGGGCCGTTCCCTGCGCCGCTTGTCGCTCTCTCCCCGGCCGCCCGGACAATCGCTGTCGCCTCCCGTGAGCCTCGGCCCCCGGCCCTCAACGCCCGGCAGAGCAGGCGGCGAGCCGCGGTTCCAGCGCCGGCCGCGGCGGTGGCGGCAGCTGGGCCTCCGCGGAGCGAGCTGCCCGGTGCGCATGCGCGCCGCCGCCCCCGCCCCCGGCCGGCGGCTTAAATCATCCTCCGCCGAGGACTAGGGGCAGCAGCTGGCCGACCGGCGGGTTCGGCGGCCCGCGCCTCCAGCCCTGTCACTCACAGCACCCGCAGTGTGCTTTCAGGTTTGCTTTGTATCTGGGCTCGCAATGGAGCATCCAGGCAACGATTAGGTCAGTGGCAAGATGACAGCTAAGAGACACCCAAAGGGAGAAAAGCCCAGCCTCCTTCCTGAAGGTGTTGCTAGAGGTAAAATGAGGTTGACGAGTGGAGGCTAGACTCGGATCGGTCCCCGAAGGGGAAGAACTCCAGCGACTCGACCTTGGTCACCCATCATCCCGAATCCATTTGACAGGCAGGGTGGGTGGCAGCCAGCACTCCCCGCCACTCCTTGTTACAAAGTCCCATCTACCTGCCAGCTTAATTAACCAATCGACAGCCCCTTGGAGCCTCTCTGAGATCATCAGGCGGGAGAAGGAGGTGAAGCTTTTGCGCAGATCTGACCGCCAATGTTCCTGCGTGTCCCCCAGAGTGCTAAGAGACAGATGAGTGGTTCAAGTTTGCATCGGTGGAGAGAAATTGGTGCTGAGGGCGGACAGAGAAATCCTTCTGGCCAGTGCCTTCTATAAGCAAAGGTGATAGGGCTGGATAATCAGGAGGGAGGAATGGTTGGAAGACCTTCTATAGTCAGGGGGTCACAGCAGGAAGCCAATTTTAGGTTTAATAAGACCCCACCCCTACCGGGACGAGAGGGTGGGGTGGGGACAGAAAAGCTACTAGGATTTGTTAGTTCCGCACCAAAATCAGAAGCACCTCCCTTTGCTTTGTTATTGGCTACATTCTCCCGTTCAGGACAGTCTCCTCACAGCACTGGCCTATGGGCGAACGGAGCCGGCCTTCGAGAACAGACAGCAAACCAATTAGGCTTGGGGAGCAGGGCATTTCGGGAAGTGTAGTTCTCTAAAAGTTCTGTCCACCAAGAGGGTGCCTTTCAGTTAGAACTTCTAAAACTTTGCTTTCTGCTTTAAAACTTGTTGAAGTAGGAAGTTAATTCACGGAAGGGAAGGGACTTAATAAACCAAATTCAAAGTCTTTCCTAAACTATTTGTATGTGACTCCTAACTTTTGATTTTTTTTTAATTCTCTGAAATACATTTTGTCTAGTTTGACACATTGTATTGGACACAGAGGACTTAAAAACACAAAACTTGTCTTCACCAGATGGGTTGCTGTGTCAAGGGAACGACCTCCCATAACCAAATGTAAAATCCTATAAGTTCAATAGTGGGGCCTGTGGGGTGGGGGGTGATGACAGACTTTGTTTTCTACTGAGGTATCAACTAAATTTATTGAGTAAATCATCACTACTCATTAAAAATCTCCAGGGAAACCACAATTTTCTGTCCAGAGGCCTTATGATGAAACAGAAGATTCCTGGCTTCAATACGCCTGACAGGAATTTCAGTCCCTGCCCTGTTCTAATGTGCAAACATGGGCAAATATATTTATTTTTCTCAGAAACAGATTCATCGTGTGAGCTGCTTTGTGTGTAGAAAGGAGATTTATTAGCTAACTCGAGGGAAGAATAGAGTGAACAAAAATTTTAGTGTTCCATTGCCTCACCTTCTGATGCTCTTCAAAAATCTCAGTTTCTTGCTCCATCAGGGGCTTCGAGATGAAAAGGAACTTTAAGGGGTCACCAAGCTAAGCCAGGCCCCTATTATTTTGCTGTGGAGTTATTGCTCTAATTTCCATACCTTATCAATTTCATCAGATTATGAATTCATCCTTCCATGCCCATGATATCAATCCAAAGGAGCCCTTAGCTAGTTATTATCATAATATCAAAGATAAAATGAGGTGTCCTCAAATTCCTATTAATTCTTTTTTACACTGTGTTTGTTTATTTTCCCTGTATGTTTATTTGGAGTGAGGTGCCACATACAGAGAACATGGACAGAGAGCGTCCTTCTGGAGATAGTTCCATCTTCCATTATGTGGGTCTGAGGATGGTATTGACCTTGATAAACTTGGAGGCACACACCTTCATACACTGAACCATTGTGCCAGCCCCTCCTGGTACTGCTTGTAAATTAGCTTCAACCAATTGCTTTCTTTTTAAATTAAGGTAGAAAACTTAAGAATTATATGAAAAATTTTTTTTACAGAATAAAAATTTGGCATAGAGTAAAGCTTTAGCAATTTATAGTTCAGTTTAATTTTTTAGCAGAAAACATCTAATTTTACCTGTAGCAATCTCTCAGCAATGCTTCTGTCTCACCTTGATGAATGAATCACTAAGTTGAGTTCAAGCGGTTCGATAGCTTCATGTCTTTGGATAAAGGATGGTCTCTTCCTCAAATTTTTCTTACCTACTTATTGAAGAATGAACTGTGCTGTATCTAGCAGACCACTGCCAATTTATCAGTAAGTAGATTGCATTTAGCTGATTCAGAGAGATACTCAACAATGCTGCCTTACTTGATACAAAGCAAAAAGTGAAAAGAAATAAGCACACACACACACACACACACAGAGAGAGAGAGAGAGGGAGAGGGAGAGGGGGAGGGAGAGGGAGAGAGAGCATTATATTAGGAGGCATGCAATGCATAAATCCAGAATGGTATAAAGTTTCTGAACCTACGAGTCTCCACTCTCAGATGTAATAGTCGCAGACAGATGAAGGCTAATGTAACAGGGCGTTGGATGAAGGCCATATACAGAGGCAGTTTGATGGTGGTTGAGATAACCTGAGAGTAAGTATTTTTTATGTATTAATTTTTTTTTATTGGCAGACTTTCTGGAAAGTGAATGAACTCTACACCACTGACTAACACTCATTTCTATTGACTTGACTTCAGTATATGAAGTCCCAAAGGGTTTTTAAGAATGACAGTAACAGATTCACTGTGTGTCTTAGCAGAGTATTGAATTTAAATTATTTGTAAGTTGCAGTATAGATGTTAATTAATTGAGCATCCTTTTTGGAAAGGGCTTTCTAGATTCTGTTTAAATGATGGGCCTGGGTTTTTAGTCAGGGGATAATGTTCCCAGCTCACTGACTCAGAGGTAGGAATCTGAAATTAACCCAACCCTTGACTAGGAATTCTGGGAATTGTGGATAGAACTGTGAAGCTCCCAGGTTGGCTGAACTCTGAAGTCATATAGAGATAAGGCTGGGTGGTTTGTTTTGCTTCGTGTATACTCAGCATGACACAGGAGGCCAAAGAGCAGCAACTCTCACTCACTCCATTAGCTCCAGGCAAGCAGAAAGTAGGACGGCCATTCCAAACCTGCCACTCACTCCCCTGCTGTCTTCCTTGAATAACTATCCACTTTTTATTCCTTCCCCTTTTATGGAAATTAGCTAAACAGACTTCTTCTCCTTTTACAGTCAAGTCTTTCAGCAAAATTGTATAGCCTTACTGAGTCAAAGAATACATGGCTGAGTAGCCGTTCACCACTGGACACCTATAGTTCCTCCTCTCAGTTCTACAGTTCAAAGGCTACTTACTAATCCAGCCAGGTTTGGTAACTTGACCCAGGAGGATAATAGTGGTAGTAATGGAAATCAGTCAGATTCTGAATTATATTTTAGTACCAGTACCAAGGGAATTTGCTGATGGCATGGGGAGAGAGAAAGAAAAGAGCAAGACAAGCACCTCAAAATTCAGCTGGAGTGTGGCAAAGAAGCTCGACACTGTAGCTGTGTCTTATGGGTAGATACTTTCCAGTCACTACTTGTACCTTAATGGACTTCACAAACACAGTAAGCTAAGTGAGCAAGCCTTGGCAGAGCACAACAAGCCGGATCCACCGCATTGCAATCGTTGTCCAGCTCTAACCTTTCCAGAAAAACAGATCAGACAGACTTTTAAGTCAGACTTCAGAAGCCTGTACATTACCTTTGTCACTCTAAGGTTTTTCCAAGCTATCATTAAACTATGAGCAAAAACATGTCATAAAGACCAATTAGGTCAACTGAAGAGATAATTCCAGAAGTACAAAGCAAAACTAACAGAAACACTTATGTGCATTTTTATATGGTACAAAAGAACACTCTTGTCAAGTTCTCTGCAGGACTCCCTTAGGCAATTGGTTCTTCAAGTTCTCAAGTATTTGAAATGTCATTTCTCCAATAGGAATCATATTTGATAACAAATGTGTATCTCACTATTTTTTATATAAGGTACCTTATTTTGAAATTTAAATATTGCATTGTGAGCATTTTGCTAAATTTTATTCCAAGGTTGGCTTTGCTTCTAAATCACTCAGGAAAATTAGATTTAAGAGCTAAAGGGCTGGAAACAAAGTATCTTATATAATTAACTCCCATGTAGTAGCAGCAGAGCAAGCTCTGAGCACAAGTTTAATTTAATATTGTTTCCCTGGCCACACCCTTGCTGTCCACTGGAAGTTTATCCCTCATGAAACCTGTTTGATAAGGATGCTGTTGCCTGGGACAAAACCCACAGTAAAAGGAAAATATCCCAGGTCAAGCTAGCATGTCACAGTCTGGGCGTTTTGTTGAGCATCCTGGAGCCCTGTGCCCCTCACATGGGCTCCAGAGCCCCTCACGCGTTCTCTTTTCACAGGCCTCTCTCATGACCACTCATGTTCTTGTGCCTCTCACACGCTCACAGGCCTCTAACCTGACTCTGATGCACCCCCTCCCTCACACTGCCTCAGCTCACTTGTCTGCTCATGCATCCCACCTGTGCCTTCACAGTGCTCAAATGCCTCTCTGATGACTGGAACTGGCCACAAACCTACCTCTTAGGAT